GATCGCAATCGGATCATTATCAACTAATTTACATAAATTAATCAGTATGGTAAAACAAATATAATGAAAAATTACATGAAGGATTGAGTAGAATAAAGAAAAATTATACAAATTATAAAAATACTCCGCTCTCTCTAATTGTTTGAAAAGCTACATGGACATAGTCGACGCATAATTATTGAAAGCTTGTATCGGTATTTATGTCTTGCTGGCAGTTGGAATGTCCGAAAAAATTGTTAATGCATGTTTTCTTAAGTTATGTTATCGAATTCTCGGTCAGAAATAATGAGATTGGAGACAATGCGACTGTGAAAAACCGATATTACTTCTTGTCAGTGTTTAGAGACGATATGATATGACATATCATAGCCCTTTTTCTCTATTGCGTTATTTATATAATTAAATTAAAAATATAAGTTTTATATTCTCAAAAAAATTAGAAATTAAACCCACATAGAAAGAAAATGTGAATAAGATAAATTCTTATGTGACATAGAAAATAATAAAATATTATATATATAAAGAAAAAATAAATACATACATGCACGCACGCACATACACACACACACACACACACACATATATATATAAAGAATAAAATATTATTAAACATATTCCTGTTATAAAATTAAAATATAATATTATTATTTAGCAATCATACAACATATAGAAATTTTGAATGACACAAGCACAGACTTTTAACAGTTATCCCATCACGCGACGCGGTGTTTGACAGGAATAATAAAGTGGAGTGTCTGAACGTTCTCTACATACCGGATCGCGCAGAATGCAATTATCCTGGGCTTGATTTGGAGATGCTCAACTCGTTGATAACTCGCGGTGCACGGCACTCGGTGCATGCCAGCTTCCAGCTCACCTCGGACTGACTGCATGGAGCCCTAAGACTGTGTCGCGGAGGCTCTCGCGATCGTAGTTTGCTTTCACTTGGCGAGTACCGCAAACGATACCTCCATGCGGATCGCCGATGGTTGATAAAGACACGGATTCGATTCGGCTTAACACCGCGCTGAGTGCTCGCATAGAATCCAGAAATTTAATAGTATTCCATTACGCTATGATCGGTATTATGTATATGCATTGTACGTAGTATTTATATAAATATCTTATAACATATTTAACATTTCCTGAATTTCTCATTTTGATGTCGATAGATTTAACAACATTGATTAACTCTCAGTTATCCCATGTGTGTGATAAATATCTCGAGGTTACACATTAATATTTCTATGTGTACTTAATTATGCAGATTATGCATTAATGCAATTATGCATTATTTGGTTATATGATAAAATAATTTGCGTAATTAATTTTATATATTATATCTTACGCAATTCTTGCAATATTGAAATGCTACATTATTATTATATATTGTGGCAGTCAACGATTATTATAATATAAATACAAAAATAATCTTTTATATATGTTTATATCGTGCAATTAGGAAATCTATAAGAAATTATTCTTATAAAAAAATCATCACTTCTTTTTTATAAAACATTATATGACGATCCACTATTTTAATGCAACATATATACATAGCTTATTAATAAAGAAATTATATATACATATATCAATGTGTTTGCAGTCTTAACGTAGTAAAAAATTGATATATAAAATAATTTACAGGGTCGTTGTAAGAAAAGATTTTAAAGATAAATATAATGTATGTAATAATTAAAAAATCTTTCAGTACGAATCCTCGTCCTCTTCTTCGATGGGAATATCTTCTCGATGCTGTTTCGGATTCCATCTACGCCAGAGTAATTCTCTCACTGTGAATTCGGAAAGTATTTCGGGACTAGTCGTGTTGATATCTCGAGATACCGACGACGGCCATAAAACTTGGGCGAAAAGAATTTCCTGTTATTCGCACGAACATAAAATAAATTAAAAATTTCGTAGAAAATTAGAACTAACTTTCTCTAAATCCATCACATATATAGATAAATGCAAGTTTACCTTAGCAGCAGTTTCGGACAGTCTTTCAAATCCAAATAAATTATTCCACGTTATGGATCGCGAGGACATAGTAGGATCTATAACTAAAGAGTCTGCATCTGCTACTTCTATTATAACGATGTAAGAAGCGTGATAAAATGGTGGTCCCTCTTTATACAGCACTGAAACAAAAGTATTTCAAATAAAATAATGATAACGTAAAAAGAAGAAAAATATTTTCAATATTATGAAAAGGAAAAAAAAGAAAAAAAGATTTAAGAGAAAGGAATTTAAAAAATAACAAAATACTGTCAATATAAACAAAAATTATAAATAATACAAAAGCATCTTTTATAATACATTTTCAAAGAACAAATAATGAAAAAAGTACTAACAGAAGTCACCACCATATTTTAAGCCAGGTTTGACAACCCAACCTTTGCTCCTATAATAATGGTAAACTACATATTTCTGTATAAAATCTGGCTTTTCCTTGCAAAAGTATAACCATGTACTGTTGATGTCCAGCAAACTACCGTCGAAGTGAATCAGTTGCAAGCAACCTAATCCAAAAAGGAGAAAAAAGGTCTCTTCGAAAGTGAGATGCAGAGCCTCTCGAATAGGAAAACCCTCGTTCTCGATTCTCGGTTTAACATTTTTCAAATAATTCTCAGTGTCTGAGTCGCTATCTGGCAATACTAATAATTTTCCATGTTGATTGTCATCCTCATTCATGCAATCGCTTTTAAAATCGTTATACAATTTCCAGTGATCTTCTTCCTCTAGTCTGTCTTCTGAGCTGTTCTTATCATCATGAGTGCTTGATGAACTTTCAACGTTATCACATTGAATCGAGTCCCTATTAATAATGACACATATGTCATCTTCCTCTGCGGAATCTAGAGTAACTTCATCGATCTCTGTGTTCTTCGTGTCCATCTCATTTCTCTGCTTGCTCCCGTTTTCAATAGAATTTGATGGAATTTCAATGATGTCGCCAATGTTCTCTTCATTCGGGATATTTCTTTCCTCGTATTGAGCAATTGCTTTATCATCTGCAATTACATAACAAATTTTCACTATATTTCAATATCACCTTATATTTTGTTATCTTATTTTATAGATATTATTTTATAAGGTGTTATTTTCGTTCATAATACTTTGAAATGAAATATATTGTATATATCACAAAATATTTATTACACACCTTTGTATTCGGTAGAGTTCAATTCTTGGACTTCCTTGAGCCATTTTTGTCTGCAAAGCCACTGTCTGTTCCGAACAACTGGCAGTGCTCCGTACCTTGCTTTGCCAAATGATGGATAACTACGTGACAACGATCCTTTACCAAAAAATCCCTACAAACACAAATATTCATTCTGTTGTTCGTAGGAAAAATTACTCTGATAAAATTTAACTTTACCATAGAATGTACTGCTGTCATTTCTTCAGGTTCAATTATACAAGATCCTACATCTGTGAGATGTGCAGTATACATTGGCCATTCTTGTGTTTCATTCAATAGGATGGGAAATGGCAATCGTGGCTTTAATTTTGTTCTTTTCCTCTTTGGTTCTCGCAGATCCATATTTTAACTACAAGCGGATAACATAAAGTTTTGGAAAAGTATTAGTTACATCCGAGATTACATCATTCAAACATTTTGTAAGATATCTGCTGAAGAGTTATAAATTTTTGTATTGTTATTAATTATTAACAAAAATTAATAAACAAATACATTGACTAACAATTCACAACTAATTCCAATATAATGAAATATAAAATAATTTCCGAAATTAAATTATTAAGACTGTAACTTAGAGCTTAATCTTTGGTTATAAAAATAAATAGATTTCAATGCTAAATAATTAATGACTCTTTTAAAAGATTTTCTCTCTTCATAAGGATGTAACAATTAACTTTATATAAAAGTTATAATGATTAATTTCATATAAAAGATATATAACAATAACCTACATGAAAATAAAAATTGATTTCTTTATACAAAAATTATTTTATGTATTATATGTGAAACATATATCTTAAATATGATATAAAACCAAAAAAAAAGGAAAATACATTTTCATGTTTATACTATTCATTACTGTTATTGAAAGAAAAGACTTACTCTTTCAAATAACAGCTGATGCCTTATTGCCTTTAGATTGAGGAATAGGATTTAGAGGTTAAGTTAAGAGTAAACACGTGCCGACATCTAAGGCTTATTTTTTATTGCTGCCAATTGCTGCACTACAGTGCACTTTCCTTTTCGCTAATAGCGTTTTCGGCCCGATCGGGTTTGCACCAACCCGGGTTGGATTAATTTTTCCTATTGGTTGATGTTACACGCTCTATCAATAGGAGAGCACAAAACGCCATTAATCCCAGGTTGGTGCAAATCTGGCCGGGCCAAAAACGCTGTAAGTTCTTTTTTTAAACAAAAGTTATAAATTAGTTCAATTATAAAAAAAAAAACAGACCTTTACTTAATTTTCATCAATTTTCATCATTACATTTAAATATCAGAACATTATTCAACTATTTAATCATATAATATTACACCCTGTATAAATCTGTATAAAAAATTATATCTCTATAATGTGATCATTTATTAATTATTTATAATTATAAATGGAAATTATTTATGTATTGGAGCCTCTCTGATCAGACATAATCAGATATATTCTGAATCTCTACATTATTGTGAAAGTATATAAAAAATATATATTTCGCAGATAAAATCCGATTATAACTGATCAGAATATAAGAGGATCTCAGTGGCCTATATTCTCGATTGCACACATCACTCACATCAGTCGGTGCATAGTAATTTTTTACTGCTTTACTGATGTTTTGTATTAAATTGGCTAATTAGCGATGTGTGCAAAATGTGCACAATAAAAGCTTTCCCAGTTTTATTGAGCTTGTTGAAACAAAACTCGAGAAAAATAAATCTTTCCTCTATCCTCTCTTCCTCTTTTTACCTTCCTCTTTCTCTCTCTCTCTCTCTCTCTCTCTCTCTCTCTCTCTCTCTCTCTCTCTCGTTTCAAGTCACAAAATATAATTTTAAATGCATTCTTTAAGTCTTTGAAAAAAATGCACTATCAAATCGGTCCTTCATCTATGTATGTGATTTTCAGCGATTCTCAGCATTTCATGCACGTTCACTATCTTTTCCCGTACTTTCCCCAGCTGCTTGCCCCGCTGTTGTTCAACGCGATCAATCTTCAACCAGTCTTCATAAGATACAATCTGGACTGAGTTCTTATTGCACAACTCATAGCATAATTCGCGTCTGGCGTCGCCTGCTTTCGGATTAGAAGGCAAGTCATTGTATATTAATCTAGCAACTTGGAAAGCATTTCTCATAGTCGTTAAAATGACCCCAGTTGGACCAGTTCCTGCCCATCCTGCGACATAGAGAGGTGCTCGCTCACCGTTTCTCCCTTCGATCTTACCGTTGATGTTCTCCAAGCATCCCATCTTTGCATTATATGATATATTCTTATATATTTGCTCGGTTTTATAACCGATACTGCGTAGAGCCAGACCGCATGGGATCTCTTCGAATTCGTCAGTTGTCTCGGCTATCTGATTTTGTATCGTCTCTCCTCGTAACTGATTGATAACAAATTTGATGCTCTGTAATTCTTTACTGCCATGAAACTCGACGGGACTGCGTAGGAAGATCTGATGTAGTTCTTTTGCGTGCACCAAGTCATTCTTGGATTCTTCTAAAGACTTCAGCATGAGTTCCGTTAATCGTTTCCGGGGTCTGTCTAAAGTCGGTACAATTGTCTGTACGTTTTCGAAGTCTTGCTGTCGCCAAAAAGTTTTACAATCTTGCAGCTTCAGAATTTCCCGCAGTTCTGCGGTTGTAAATGCAGCCTGCAAAGGTCCTCTTCGTCCAACCATGGTGACTTTTCGCACTCTACTGCGACTTAAAGCTTCCAAGGCGTACGATGTGATATCTGTATTCTAAAATAATCAAGAGAGATTTCAATTCACACAAAATTAAAAAATATTTTTTAAATCATAATTTAATCTTTAGAATTCTTATGTTATTTTGCCGATATCCACATTCCTTTCTGATAAAAAATTCTTAATTTAAAATTAAACGCTAGTTAGAGATTTAGGTATCACCTTGAGTTTGTCGACCGGTGTCAAAAGAATCCTCGCGACATCTATGGCTACATTGCCTTGACCTATGATAACTGCTTCTTCTACATCTAAGTTAATTTTCAGACCTTTATCATCTGGCAGTCCATTGTACCAACCAACAAAATGTCGGGCTGATATTACATTGTTTAAATGTTCACCAGGTACATTGAGAAATCGATCTTCCTGAGCGCCATAAGCCTGGAATAAAAATCAAAAAGTAATTATTAATTACAAAGATTCAGCATACACTAATACTAATTAGAATAAACAATTAGATTTTGAATTGATATAATGATTACTTGACACTTATTAAAAAATTAATAATTGTAATACTCTTATTTAATTTAAATTATTATATATAATAAATAAAAATATGAAAATGTAAAATATAGTTACAAAAATTTATAATATGTTCAAAAGTACTTAAATAAATTTAATTGCTGATTATAAAAGTTAATCCTTTTTCATTGTGATTTACAATATATATATTAAAACATTATATTTAAAATAAACAAAGCTATTTATATCTCACAAATAAGGTGATGAATTCAAGAAATAAAAGTGTTAATTACCTGAGTTAAGTGACAATTAGAGTTAAGTAATAATTCATTTTGAATATCAAACATACCAATAACACAGCATCGTACAAATTTCGCAGGTAGTCGACATCAATATTGACGCCAAGTCTAACATTGCCCAGGAATTCAACACGTGGATTGGTTGCGATTTTGTGAAATGTATTGAGGACGTTCTTCACATCCTGATGATCTGGAGCAACCCCATAGCGTATTAAACCAAAGGGAACTGGTTGTTTATCCAGAATGGTGATTATTGAGTTGCTTGAATCCTGTTAATCAATTTCATACAAATTTTACTTTCATTTCCTTATTCTATATAGGATATTTATAAGAATTATTTAATAGACAATTCTTATATACATACAAAATACTTATACTATTCTATTTATTACATTCAAAATACTTATAGTATTATATGGAATATGCATGTATCTTATTAATTATAATTAATCTATTTTGTATATGTGTATTATATACACATTTTATTACCCTCAGTAACTGCTGAGCTGCATAGAAGCCCGCTGGACCTGCACCAACGATGCATACCTGAGGTACGGATTGTTGTGCTACAGTACATAATAAACGAGTACAACTCTTGAGAATGTTGTATCTCATCTTTATATATGGCAATGTTGATTTAAAACTGAGTTTTACTGTTATGATACGTTTCGAAAAAATCGTCGAGCTCTCGGACGCTGTTCTGTTATTAGAATTAGAACAATCCGTGAAAATTTTAGTCCAGCAAAATCTTAATCACTGTTCTATGTAGTAAATTGCAAAATATCGGTTATTCCTCTTCCTATAAAACAAGCAAATACAATGGATCTGAAATATTTATTAGTCCGTGTTATTTGCTGTTCGATTACAGTATTGTATAAAATTATCAGAAAATAAAAATTGAACGAGTCGGGAGCATGTCTCCGACTTTGAGGTTAGTTCTAATTTCTGCAAAGTGCGCACATGGCATTGGACGCGTCAAGTCAACAAAATGGCTAGTTAACAAAGGCCTTTGGAACGCACCCCTGCAGGCCAAATGAACTCGATTGGTTGTTAGTAGGGGCTGCATAAAGTCACTAGATTAATCTAGTGACTTTAGGGCTGCACAGAATCTGGAGACACGCATGGGTGCATTCCAAAACTCGACTCTATCAGCTCCGAGTATCTTTTATCCTTGTTCAACTGTCTTCAACATTCGGTGAAGAACAAAGATAAAAGATACTCGGAGTTGATAGAGTCGAGTATTGAAACGCACCCCATGGTATAAAGACAAGGGTATGCTCTTGCGCATCGTAACGCCAGACAACCAATGAGAATTGCAGCCAGACTACGTCATCATTACGCGGCAAATTCAAATGGTTAAAAATGAAGTAAATCATGGTAGCGTCAATACATTAAGATAAGTGAATTTTATGAGAATGATGAGTGATAAGTATAAATTTGTGATGTCACAATTCGTTTATAACATTGTATTCAACAATACTAATGATTTTTACCATAATCCATTTACTTCATTCCTGCATACTTCACCCCACTTTGCAGCAATTTTTTCGTCTTTTGGAAATCTAAAAAATTTTACCGTTTTCCCTTTCATTTTTCGGTAACTTTTTTGCACCCTTTCACTGCACAAGCACTCATTGCAGCCAAAATTTTTATTCAAACGATAAGTAATAACTGTTTTCGCGAGAAAACAGAATTTCCACAATGTCACGCGTAGTCATATTTTAGTCGGCCGAAGTGATCCGAATTTTGATATGAAATTATTGAGATAGTTATCTTGAACGTGCTGTTATAAATATATTAATGACTTTTTATCGCGATATTATTAAATTTTATATTCGCAAATTAATAATTAATAATAAATACGATCTAATTATTGTTAGTATTTCATTCCGCTTTTCTCAATATTTCATTAAAGTTTAGAAAAATTTGTATTATTATATGTATTTTTGACGTTTTCATATAATCCCGCATTAATAAATTTTTAATTACTTTAATAAATTTTGTTAATTACGCTCCTATAATATAATTTTTATTATATTTCGAACAGCATTTATAATTGTACATTGTATTGTAAACAATTATTATTGTATTACTGAATGTATAAAGGATTACAATAAAAGATAATATTAAAAAAGTTATGCAATATGATTTTATCGTATTTCGCTAATCATAATTAGCGAAAAATACAATAAAATAATTAAATAGAAAAATAAAAAATAAATTTAAAATATACTTACTGCAAAAGTGGACTACTAAATTTATTTGTAGCCCATTTTTACGAATGAGTATATTTACAAAGAAAAGGGGACCGCCGATAAAATCGGCGGGAGTGATGGAGGGCCTCTAGCTCGTTTTTGCTAAATTAAACCTTAAATTAACGATACATGATCGGAAAAGTTTGAAGTGTATTCTAATGTTGCATAATTACTTTTAAACAAAAATACATGAAAACAAGAGTATCCAATTGAAATAAAAAAATTTTTAACGTAAAAAAACTTGGCATCACTAGCAAACTTGACTTGATCTAGCGGCGCCAAGTTTTTTTACAATACAAATTTTTTAACTCAACAAAATTAATTTATTAATATTAGAATAATTTTTTCGGTCTTTTGTAATTTTTTTAAAATTGAATACTGCGGGTGTGTTACCCGCCGATAATATCGTGGCTACGTAGTTGATGTTTTATGCACATGGAAGCGCTAATAGTTTCATCCAAAATGCAGATCCGACAGTTGTTGCAGACACGTCTATTTTTCTATCCTTCGCATTTTAAATAATATAGATGATCTTTTGTTATAATCTGAAAGAATTATCGCGTGTGCTTTTTTTCTGTTTGGCAAGTTTTGTGATCGTCGTTTCGATAGTCGTGTTTCGAATAAGAAACAAATGTATTCGCGAACGATTCTTTTATCATAGAAGTCAGCCACTCATAAGAATTTGACACAAGATGGCGACGCTTGTTATGTTTTGTGAATTATGGTACAGTTTGAAGCACCGGATTTGTCTGAAACGATCGTTTCGAAAGTGTTTCTTTGACGGAAAAACAGTGTTACTTTGTGCTTTGGAATTTCCTGGGAATGAGAATAGTGTCAGTGGAAGATATGTCATCATTATCTGATTAGCACAGTTCATTATAATGAGTTATCTGTTATGTAAACATGGTATGTGAGGATATATTAGAAGGCTCTAATATTGCTTTAATAACTTGTGCTAATACTAGAATATCCCTTAATAACTGCAGTCATCGTATGAATTAAAATTAAACGCGAATTTGTACTTGCCAGAATAAAAGAATCGAAATGTTGCAGAATAGAATAAAACACTTTGTATTGTCTATGTAATTCCATAATTACTTATGATGAAAAAACATATATTATTTTATTGATTAGCTGTTTATTTATATTTCATCTTATATGCTATTATATTATCTTAAATTATTTTATTACTTACTCTATTTATCAAATAAAGTAATATATTAGTTGCTTTCCATTTTCACAAAAGTGATACTTATGTTAGTGATATTTAAAATTATATTTTGTTGGATAATAATGTTACTACTTGCTTACTTTGATGACAAAGTTATCATGTAATAATACAGGTTTATTATTACTTTTGATATGAGTTAATAAGACTCAGTAAAGCACATAGTCTCTCAAGATTATAGATAAAAACTCAGTTTGATCTTATTTGTCAGAATGAAAAGAAATGTGGATTCATATATTTGAGTTATGACGTTATTATTGAGAAAGCAACTATTATGATATTATGTTAATTAAGTACATGCTTTCTAAAATTTTTTTTGGAAGATACTGAATCCAAGGGTAACAAAAAAATTGTAAACACAAATATATCTTTTTTTCAACGTGTATTTCTGCACTTTCTCACGTCTTGCAATCGATTTAGCTTATGTACATGTGGCGATACGGTGACAATAATGTAATTTTATGGAACATGATTTGCAGGAGGATTGTTCTCTTGCGATTGCGTCTTCCCCTTCCCTTCTGCCAACGATTGACTTTCTGCAGTCGACTTCCCGCGACGAATGCATGCGCTGCAGTTTTCATCGCCGGTGAGTGCAATGCTTGCATGTAAACGCTTCTATTTCCTGTAGCCCAGCTTGCGTAGGGCCTTCAGGTCCACGTCACCGTAATAGTCTTGGCTGAGAAATGCATGAAAATATTCCGTGTGATTTGATCGTAACGTATGATTACTTTAAGATTCACCGTCTTTGAAGTACGATTTAAATAATAATTTTTTATGTGAGTCTTTCTCGTGAAACTATACATTGATTTTGTTATTTTTTATTTGATCTGAGTAATTCCAGAAGTCGCAGAATTAATCATCATATTATATAAAAAAAAACCTAACTTCGCAAAAAGAAAGAAAACTAATAATGGTTTTAATTAATTTTAGCTAATTTGATTGACGTTCCTAATTTTCCGCTTCCTGCAATATCGGGCGTGATCTTGTAAATTTTAATTTGCAATTATATTTTTTTTTTATTGAAGCAAATAAGAAAAATTCGTAATTCGTCAAAGTTGAAATACAATATATACATGAGACATTATATACATCTGATACAAACAAGGTTCTTTCATGAAATATAATATATATTTCCTTCAAACGACGCTTCAATTATAATCAAAGTTAATTCGATATATACAGATTCGACACATGCCAATTTTTAAGCTTAAGTTAAGATTTTCAGGCTGCGATTGATATATTTATATTACGTTACAATTAAATTATGTACATCATTAGGTAATAGTTTCATGCAATAGGTGACTACACAGAGAATGTGCTAAGAAACTATTAAATATATTAAAAATTACAAATGGAGAAATGTGTCAATGATCGATAAAGGTGGATTAGGAAATACAGGGATTTATAGGGTAAATAGATAGAAAAATTGCTTATATTCTCACCACACATTTAATATCAAACGTGGCTATCTAATTTTTTTTTTATACATATACATAATGCAGCATTAGCATTAAATAAATAGCTTTTAGAAATCTGTGTGTGCAATTTTAATATTAATATAATTAGATCTTAGAATCAAATCGTTTTAATATTACAAACGGGGTCACGGAATTATATATTATAATTATATGTTATAAATAAAATTTTAACATTAACATTAAATATGCGGTGAAAATACAAGTCGAAGTCTTCCAAGAATTTTTTCTTTTTTATTGAATGAAGTTTTCGTCTTATTTAAAGATACACGACAAACCAGCCGATTTTGCTTACTAAGTAGTTATTAGAGTCGAAAAGATTTCTGAATTGTATAGATCACATATATGGATCACATCGTGGATTGTTAACTACGCGAATCTGATAGATTTCGATGTCATGCGCGATGTAAATGATATTTTTCCACTTTTTTTTTATTATTCCGTGTCTCATTCAGGAATTAAAATCTGTGTAATTTCGTTAAATTTAGTTTTTTTAATTGTCTTACTTCTCTATCGAGAACAATTTTTACAAAATTCATGCATGTGTTCTGCAACAATAATAATTTTCAGGAAACACATTTTATCGATCATCTTTGTAATTATATATATTATTTAAAGAAGAATTAATACTATGTACATTAATTAAAATAAATCAGTAAATGACAAGATGATCGTAAAAATAATTAAAATATAATATTCATATATTTTTAGAAAATTTACAATTTTGCAAAAATGATCCCCTCAATTGTCGCGTTTTTGTTACTGCGAAATTAGAAGATTTCAATTCCTATTCTCATTTTAACGAAAAAAAGGGAAAAAAGACAGGAGAAAGATAGGTAGGATATTAGAAATAGTTCAGAGTGTAAATAGCAGATAGATTAGAAACAGTTAAGAGAGGATTAATTTTTTATTTATTAAAAGAGAAATTGATTAAAAGAAATCGCCGATGAGGCGTCACAATTTACATAAATTTTGTGGAACATCAATCTTTTGAGCATTTATCAGGAAATTTTCCGAGAAATTTTATGCTATATCAATGTTAATTATTATC